CCCAACACTATCCACAACGTTGGGAGACACATCGCTTCGTCCGAGTAGAAGACGGATGACCTCGAGGCGCAAATCAACGCAGTACTCTGGGAATGATGTTAATCTTTCCAGCCGCGAAGGGTTGTTGAGAGGGAGATGAATGACGGGGAAGATTGAGGATTCTTTGTCACCAGATTTTCGATATACATTCATATGCACGATACCCTGATTTGTCACGGCGTAAAATAGAGGTGTCCAGCCTTTGTTATCCTTGATATCGGCCTGCAGGACCTTCTGTCCAAGCAAACGGTGCAAAATATGAATGTAGCAATACTGGGTTGCATGCGAAAGTAAGGTCTTTCCTTCGTTATCCTTGACGTTCACGTCCAACCTTTCACCGCAGATATTCAAGATCAAATCGAAAACGTCTACGAGCCAATGGCGAGCAACGAAATGAAGGGATGGGAAGCCGTCAACATCTTGTCGATTGATATCCACATCGTTTCGTCGCAATAAAACTTCCACGATATCCAGATGCTCATTAGATGCAGCGTAGACAAGCGGCGTTCGGCCGATGTTGTCCTTGATATTGCTTGAGCGCATACCGATCCGCCCTAGTAGAAGCTGCACAATATCGAGGCGACCATATTGGGCTACATACGAGAGTGGAACCCTGCTGTCCTGATCCTTAACATCGACACTGGCGTCTTCAACATCCAAAATCATCTTCACTATCGCTAATAGACCACTCTGGGCTGCGAAAGACAAGGGCGTCGTGCCATACATATCTTGTGCATTGATGTCAATATCGTCTCTCCTCAACAACATCGCCGAGATGTCCTCACGGGCGCCCCCCAAAGAAGATGAGGGATATGGATCCTGGAAGTGATCGCTAGCAATGATAAGCTGAGCTAATACCGTCCGACCGAAGTCATCACGGACATTAGGATCCACTCCATTGTGTGCTAACAGTAATTTGACGACGTCGACTCTTTTGGAGACAGCCGCATGCACCAGCGGCGTCATCCCACAGAAATCCTTCGAATTTACATCGACATCAACGCGCTGCATCAGCAACGCTGCAACGCCCGCCCGACCTTCCTGAGCAGCATAGGAGAGCGGCGTCATCAGACGATCATCCTTGCAGTCAGGTTGGACATCTGGTCGTGCAAGTAGTGACTGGGCAATGTCCACGCTAGTGACATCGGCTAGTATCGAGCGTGTCCTCAGATCGACAGGATGTACGGTCATCCCGTCTACTCCTAACAGCAGATTGACCATGCCCAAGCTTCCTCCCCGCACCGCCAAGGAAAGCGCACTCTCTGGAGTCACTTCCTTACTGACCACGTTGATATCTTCACTGATGCTGGGTGACTGAAGCAGCAGCTTGACCACATCCTCAGACCCGGCACTTACAGCCCACATTAATGATGTCCGGCCCCAATGATCCGTAACACTGGTGTTAGCTCCGTGGCGCAAGAGACACGCAACGATATCCACTGATGCCGCACGGGCAGCGTAAATCAATGGTGTACGTTCTTCTGCGTCAGCACAATCAAGATTTGCTCCAGAACCTAAAAGTATTTCGGTAGTCCGCAGCATACCGAAAGATGCTGTGAGATGCAAAGGCTGAATCCCTCGTCCAAAAGGCACGATATGTGATCCTCCATAAAGGGCATTGACCTGTTTCCTGTCATGTAAGAACTGGAGGATATTAGTTTGTAGGGATTCTTCAACCGGGATGCAATGCAAGCCCCAATAGCAAAATGCATACGCGAGAAATGGATATCTCCGCTCAGAATGGGGATCTACTAATAGACGTGTGATATCGAAGGATCTGAAAACGAAGCTGGGAATATCGAGATGGACATTTTGCAGGAGCATATAGCTTAAGCATGATCTTGCAATATCGAGTTGAATATGAGGGAAAATATCCGTCTGTCTTGCTTCGAGAAACTCTTGCGTTGTATAATCTATAACACGATTAGAAGCTGGGCACTCAACACGATGTCGTGAAACACTAACGGACGAAGCAGAACGTGGGTGACGGAGGGTCGTCCGGATAGTCTGATTCAATGGGTGTCGCAAGCTCAATGACTACGAGTCCAGCACAAACTGAACATAAGACGTCGCTATCAGTGATATTCTCTACGTCTAACTCTTGTTCGCCCGGCTCAACGGCGAATGCATGCTGGAGCTCCAAGACAGTTAGAGGACGCTTCGCAAACGCGATCCAATAGAGAATTCGGTACCCAAGTTCCTTGCGGTGCTTCCCTTGGCTACCAATACGCCGCAATGATTCATTGTATGCGTCGGCAACAGTATCAGGAAGTTCTGCGAGCGCATTTCGTAGATGCCTGCGATTGGTGGCTTCGGCAAGGGAATCCATGTGAAGACAAGCCAGGAGGAACCTGACATTATAGTGAGTGAACTGGACTAGGATAATGAACTTGGCCTTACATGCCCCTCGCTGCTCCAGTAACACCGTTGATGATATCATCGCGAAGTTCACCACGACCACTGATATGGCTCGCAAGGTGGCCTCTTGACAGCCTATCAGCTATGTATATCGTGGTGGGTTAGAGACAAAATCACATATTTTTCATTTTTTTCGCCTTGGAGTAAGTATTCACAGGTAAATGCAGGTATTCCCAGGTAAATACAGGTATTATGAAGTATTTGTAAGTAATCGGAGGTAAAACAAGGTAAACGTAAGTAATGATAGGTACGGACTTAGAATGCCGTAGGCGACAGCTTGAAATAGTGTGCTACTTCAGAATACCGGGGAATACTTCACATTCCCGTCCGCACATCGGCATAGGCTCAAAATGGAAGGACTCTTCCGGGGTCCTCAGGGTTCACGCGCCCATAGGTAGTACGGCTTATATCGGCTTAATGCCGAACTTTGGCATCGGACAAACCTTCAGTTTGCCTGAACGAATGGCCTTCTTTACTAACCCGTTAGGCTTGACCGTTCCAAGGTCGCCTTAGATTCCATTGTAAGAACAGGGTTTGTGTTTGATATATGGATATGGACCCCGGAAACCACCGAGTGACAGGCTTCTCGGATCGTCAAGAATCCAGTAAAGCCAAGTAAAAGCAGGTAGAAGTATTTAGAAGTATTTAGAAGTATGCTACCGAAATTAGTCAAAGTTTTGATTGCCGGAATTTGCATTACTTCGAATTACCTGATAATACCTGATAATACCTCGAAATACTTCCATTTACCTGCAAATACCTGCAAATACCTGCAAATACTTGGAGTAGCCAGGAAAAAAAACACAAAATTAATTTTGTCTCTAAAACACCACCATATATGTAAGCTCCGATATCTTCGTCGGTCCCGTGGATGGATAGGGCCGTACAGTCCTTGAATAGAGATCCGATGGAGGCAATGTTGCAAGAAGTGACCAGAAGAGATACACGATTCTCAGAGCCAATAGACCGAAGAATTTCAACTAGAAGATCACGATCTTCATCTTTTACTTCGTCCAGAGCGTCAACAATGATATACACACGATCATACTGTCGCAGTTCTCGAGAAAGGTGGTTTCATAGCTGCTCAATGGAGGGAATAGTATCCAGTCGACGATGATCATCGTAGATAGCTTTCGTAGACTCGGAGATATAACCTAACTCTTGGACTAGCTGTTTGAATAGTGCAGCTATTATTTGTGACACAGACTGCATTTTCTGACTGCGGTAGTCACAGAACACGTTCAAAACGAGGAGTTCCATCGTCTGCAGATGGTTTGTTGTGATAGATCTGAGGAACAATGAGCATGAAACATTGTCAATTGGAATCTACGAAACGCATGAGAGAACAGTCTTCCCTACGCCGGCTGAAGGTATCATACATATGTTAGGACATACGCAGGAAAGGTAAAATGAATGCAGACATACGATTTCCTGGACACCATAGACAGCTCTCCGTCCCATCAACCCAACGAAGAAACTTTTCGGACTCGAGAAACCACTGTCCTGTGCCATCCACACGTCGAGAATATATCTCCGATTGCACAGCTCTGAAGTTCAACGGAGAAATCCAGCTGGTAACTTTTAGAAATAATTCTTCTACGGAACTGTGAGGTTATCCCAGCCTATATTAACGGGACAAACGTACGGTTCTGCTTCTGATCGGAGTGGTCTCGTAATTTTTCCATGGATCCCTCAATACCAGAGATGTCACCTTTGATTCGTAGGATGCCGCACTCGACCCTGGTAGATGAACTAGCTATTTGCTTGACTACTGTGTTGACATGAGATATGTCTTCGTGTATGGCTCCCGTCAAGGATCTGAAGTAGATTGAGAACAATTACTGATAATAATAAAGAACCCACATGTGGTCTTGCTGCACAGCAATCATCACTAGTGACTTTACCCTCTCCACCTTTTTCAAGATATCTTTGATATCCTCTTTACTGAACTTCCACATCATCCTCTCTGCCAATCTCGTAGTAAATGTTCGGTGCCCCTCCGGCGCCAGTTTCCGCTTCAGATCTTCAAGGAGACTGCTCAGCAGCCTGAAAGGTCCTTCGGGAACGTCCAGCGCTCGCACAGTAGCCAACCATTCGGCTATCGATGCATCAGGCTCGGTAGCTAGTTGTACGAGGCTGTTAAGGGTCCCCAGAAAAATATGGAGCGATGTTAGCTCCTTCAAGAGCTGGGTACATTCTGCTGGTGCATTTTTGACGTCGTTCAGATAGGATACGACTGTCACTGTTGCGTCAACCAAGGAAATGAGGGCCGAAGTAAACCCTATAGCCTCCATGAATGGTGAAGGTAATTGACGTTATCGAGCGCCTATTTTATAGTTCGTTTCATGACTCAGGGCAGGGGGCAGTGCTGCACACATGGTACCCCGTTCATACAGCGCTGTAGGACGTTCGATGTATACATTGTGAACGCGGAGCCTTCACCGTGGCTGAAAAAAAGAAGGCAAGGGCGGATGAGGAAGGAGTAACCCTTATAGGGCAGTAGATTTCTAGGAATGATTCAATATGAAGCAAAGAACTTATATGATCCCTTAGCTCAGTGGTAGAGCGTGTGATTCCAGCTTCATTGCGTGTCCACAAGGTCAAGTGTTTAACTCGCTTAGAGATCATTTTGCTCTATTTTACCACCAATTCTATTCTAGTACTTCAAATACTCATTTTGAGGCCTCAACATGGCAGAAAAGCGAGATTTTTGAACTGTGGAAGAGGGGATCGAGGCGTACCTATTGCCGATCAAACATTCGGAAGATCCCGGCTAATTCCGGAGACCGATGCGATCACGTGCCTATCATGAGCGAATGCGGAAAGAACCTAGGCTTAGTGTTGCCACGACTCAGCTAAGCTTATGCCGACTTTGGTAATTGCCTTGAGCCGAGTCGGCTTGAGTCTGTTGCCATTATATCAGCTAAGCTAGACTTCGGCTCAAGTCGGCTTGAGCTCAAACTAATGATCCAAAAAGGGAGTTTCTAGGTTAAGGTACTCTTTGTGAGGCGAGATGGCTTGTAAATTGTTCAGAATGAATACCTGACAGTATTTAGGTGTCCAAATTACAAATCTGTTAGTGCCTCCTCAGTATAGCCATGAACTGCAGCCTCTTCACCATTTTAGGGAAAATATAGGCTTGATCTCGGCATTTATAAGGCTCAAACCTCAGTTATTCTGTTTTATGATTTTATGGAAATTTTGAGTGTTTTGTTGCCTATATACATTTTGTAAGCTTATTTACATTTACAGAGGAGGTGTTTATGTGGTCCTGGGGGACAATATAGGTCAAGAGCACACTGGCCAAATCAGGTGCTGTCATTCGGACTAAAGCGACTCAAGCCCGACTTTAGCCGGCTCCTATTTGAGCTTGAGCCTAGAATGAGTCGGAGCCAAATCAAGACTCAGACTCGGCTTATTAAGACTCGGCTCGTCGGCTAAGCGACTTTAAGCCGAGTCGCGGCAACACTACCTAGGCTGTGATTGTCGCCAATCAAAATTAATGAATATATAATAACAGGCTCCTCATCAAGCCATTTTATCAGGTCACAACGTTTATAAGCTTAATCAAAAGTTCAATAAAACATGAGGGCCTTCCAAAAGGTAATATTTCCTTACTTGTTTGTTGACTTGGATATTTGGACGACTCCCTCCCAATCATCCTCATGCTTGTGGTACTTTGTTGTATTGTTCTGGATGAGTACTGAGATGGGGGACTCCTCTGATATCTGCTACATATGACAGATATACGATCATAAAAATACGATGTTCACACTGGATATATCACGAACAAGGCAGGGTATTCAAATATTTAATCCAGTACCCTTGCCATTGAACTCGCGTCATGGAGCTCGTCGAACGGTCTCATCAGGTATCACTTCCAATCTTACCGGCACCTTCCGTTCAGTCAAAATCTTCGTAACGGAATCCAGCGTCGATTCTGAGATATACGCGTCCTGGCCGCAAACGGCAATCTTCATATCAGTGAGATGAGGAAGAAAAGGTTCCCATCCATCCGGTTGCAAAAAGGCTTCCACGTTACGGAGATTGCTGACTTCGAACATGATGGACTGCACTCCGAGAGGTTTTTGGGGCAGCATCGTGTCCTTGACTTCCAGGATTGCTTGCACTAGTAGGAAGATTAGGATTCGAAGCACGATAATTGCAAGTTACTTACGTTCTTTTTCTCCAAGCCCTACTTCTCTCGCGCGATGATTTTTACGGAGCATTTCCACGATGCGAGCCGAATCGAGGGCGCCATACTCCGAGTAGCTTTGGATATCCAACCCATCCAAATCAAATGGTGAGATTACCGATTTCTCCCTACGGAGGTAGTTCAAAATAGGGCTTATGCCATAATGGCTATCCATCCCTACCAGTTCCAAGACCTTCAGCCTCGTCCTCGCATTCGGATCCGTTAGATCCTCTAGACGAGCGGGCATAGCCCTGTCCTGGGTATAGGAATGCTCCACCAGTAAATTGACCAGTCGGAGCTCCTTTAGTACTAATAGATTGTCAATGATCCCTAGCAGCACTTCTCGCTCGATCGAACAATCTGCTAGGTACAGCGCAGTCAAGTTGTGCACCCAGACGAAATGATCTGTAGCCACCATCTTGTGTATGATGTGACACTGTGTAATTTCGAAATCAGAAAATCGACCGAGGACATGCCGCCATAAATCCAGGTTCATGCGTTTGACCGAGTCAATTTGGAGGATACGCGGGTCAACGGGGTAGAATTGTTCCCACGATGCGGAGCGGGTAGCGGGGATGGAGGTGCAGCCAGGACCGAAGAGAGGCGGAGAGGGTGAGACTGAAACCATCCGCAGAGTGGGGAAGCGGTGCAATGGGAGGGGAAACACGAGACGTTCCAAGTTCCATGGGGTAATACGTTTGAGCTCGATGAGCTCCAGGACGTCGTACGACTCTAGGATGGTCTTTGATATTTTGGGATCGGAACACTGGAGTACATGGTAGAGTGCGGCGGCGTCAGTGGGAGTGGTAATTTCCAATGTATGACGCGTCTCGGTGAATATCCGCTTCAAGTCTTCAAAGAGCCAGTGTATCTGAATCTGCCCATCTTCACCTTCGTCAACATCTGCAGGAGCGGGAGGAGGATCGGTCGCAAGAATAAGAATATGGTAGGCATAACTATCAGGGCTGTTCAGTTGCGCCAAATCAAAATCGGATACGAAGGGAGCCCAAGGAATTGGGGATTTCGGGATAGGGGCGTCGATGAGTCGGATTAAATCACGGGGTAACATGGCAAGTGAAGAAAGGCTGTGGAAAAGAAAGAAAGAAGGTGGTGGTAGAGTGTTAGACCTTTTATGTCGGCAAAGACAAAGGGGGATTAATTTGACGCAAGGTTCTTTGTCCTTGACAGAGTGGCACTAACGATTCCAATTCAAACTCAACGCCCATTGATAATAAGAATACACGTACCCTATCCACTGTCTTATCGTGCCATCGTGATGCGGCCCGCACACCACAAAGGGAATGTCCCGTAGTGGAGATTCCTGATACCCAGAACCAGTCTCAGTTGACAATCCGTTCAACGGTCATTGGTTATGCCATCGCAACGCGACCCTGCACCCCGAGCGTGTTTATGCCACAAGTTGCCTGCAGGTGATGCCACTTCCAAGGACCCGTTAGAGACCATGAAGCACCAAGCAGCTCATGGATCTAGCTGTGTCTCTACGGCATCTTAGAGCTCGTTCCCAACTGACGCTTTCTACACAAGAATGTCAGTCAGCACATTACCCAGACATGGAAAACATACGACAACTGTTATTCAACGTCCCCAGCTCATCAACAGACAGCAACGAAGTCTAGGTTCATTGCGGCTGGCGGATACCGTATCGATGTCTGCTCCGTTGCAAGGACATGGGGTCATCAACGAATTGACAGTCAGCTTACAGTGCGAAAGACAGTTCTTTGATTTTTCAGAGATCATGAATGGAACCGAGGGTCAAGGGGTTATTCTCTTGGCTGGTATTGCGGAGAGCACGATGAAGAGCATCAGGACCGAAATACAAGTTATTCTCACGCCGCAATCGCGCCTTGCCGCCAGTGCACGTGGTCATCCACCTTCCTTCCTTGCTTCCATGGCAGCGGTTTGGCTGCTCGATTTCTGTCTGTCTCGTCTACTGTATCTCGCCTTGGACAAGATTTCAAGATGACCAGACGCTCTTTCTGAGTAATGCTCTCGGCAGCAAATTATCTACCAGATGGTGCGACGACAACATTGAGAAGGGATTTTGCGGTCCGATTTAGTGAGATGGATCCAATTTGGACGTCTTGTCTGTCAAGCGTTTCCCGACCCCTTCTGGATGACAGCTTATTCATTGTCGACTTTGTAACCAGGTTAGTCATTTGAGTCGTTTTTTGGTTTTAAATGTGGTGATAACCGCTCAGCAAGAGCTGCAGTATGGACTGCAGTGTTCGTTTGAACTCTAGAATGAATTCAATAAATTATGGCCGGATACTACAACCTTCCGCAACCTATATCTGGATATTGGACATCCTGCTATGACTACCAAGCTGTAGCAACGGTGTTTCTGGAAAGCTTCTTCCGACAACCGCAGTCAGTACGTCGTCACCTCAAACGGTGTTTTGCTGACCTCCGGGTCTGTTTCTATATCAGGCGTCCTGGAGAGGACGGGTATTGTAACTGATTGGAAATCTCCGGAATACCCCACAGCGCACGCCGTGCGTACATCCTCTGGAATGTCTGCAACCAGAAAATGGCAAGCATTGGGGATCGTGAGGAAACGATCCAAAACCTAGGAAGATAATAGTCGGGCACCTTCCTGTGGGAAGTAGACCCCTGTTTCAAAAGTACGTTCGCCTATACTAGTCATCACTTTATCCAAACAGAGTACGTCTTCGTAGATGTGCGTCTAGGCTTTGCTTCGTTCAAGACTTTTCCCGGCGCGAGTATGTGCTTCGTTACAAGCACTGAAAGGTCACTCATATGCAATGTAGGCATGAATTAATTTGTTTCCTTATTTCATGTTCCCTTGTCGGCGCAATCATACAATTCTCAAAATTAAGCCGTTACCTTGAAAATCACGATGAATGATCCTTCGAGCAGAGCAGGCAAGTTTCGAGAATGAAGCAAAGTCCATTGCTCAACTATGCCACTCATCGTGCATCTCTTATCCTCAAAAAGTATCTGATACTCCTGCGCAGGCTGATCTTCGGGAAGCTGAGGTTCCGTTCCGACTAGGGTGTGGCGGATTAACTTTTGAACATGCTTTGTAGAGCAGTCTCTGGTCACCAGGGCTCTGTTTCACAAATTATGCTCCAGCACCTATGTGACTCTGACCCGCATGACACGGTGGATAAAAATTCTGCAGAAGCGTGGAAATGGCCGCCCACATCAAAAATTTCAAAATCACGTTGAGCTCTGTTCGCGTAATCCTCGTCAAGAAGGTTCTTGTCCGCCACACCGCTGCTTTGTGGGCGTACCAGTTTCATGATTGAAAGGCCTTCAGTACATGCCAGGCCAGGCTTTCTGCAGGTACATGTCGTATTTCTGTATAAAAGTTATCTCTAACTCTAATCTGCAAAGTGTACGGCTTCACTGATCATTCATTGCAACTCGGACTGCACCGGGCGCACAACA